CCGGGTTTCTCCTCCCTGTGTATTCAAGTTTTCAAAACTGAACCATGTCACCGGTTACCCCGATGCAGGGCATCTTCTGGAAACGGAGACATAGCCAAGGTGCTGAGTTCTGAAGGGGAGAGAACTTGGAAAGAAAACATTTAAGGGGAAAGGAAAAATAATTTTAGAAGAGTGGTTTTCTGAGATGACTTCTCTGGCTGGAGAAGCGCAAGAGTAATGAAGGACAAGAGAGCTGTGTTAGTAGAGATTTTTTTCTTTTGACCAGATGATTTTAAAATATTATTCTTTGGTTTTCTTCTCAGATGATTGACACTAACTCCATCAATAATTAATCCAGCAGCTGTTAATGTCTTGGCATAACCGTCCAGAAGTAAATATCTTAGCGTCCAGCCAGAGCCAGTGCTGCTCTCTGGGGTGGGCTTGAAACCTGACAAACACACACTCGCACACCACCCTGGAGCTTTCAAAGAGGAGCAGGTTTATGACTCACCTTGGAATTTAGGGCTGTTGCAGGCACCCGCACACCTGAGCGACCCTGTGAGGAGGAACATCCATCTGACAGACAGTTTTTATATGTGTAGAATTCTAGATATTTGCGCATGCAGGTGGGCATTCTCACTCACTCATTGCTAAGGGCAGACACCTACTGGTACATTTATTCTTTAAACTGTCCCCTATGTGAAATTGCTACAGGAAGCAAGCACCAAAGTTAAATCACCCCCCAGAAGAACATGAGCTGTGAAGAACTGCTTAAGTTGTCGTTTACAAAATTAGAGCCTCAAGGTCCCTTCCCATCAGTAAGGGTTATTTTGAAAAGAAGTCATTCATGAGTCCCTGGAGGTCAGTAAGGTGGGGTTCTGGCCGACTAGGACAGGCAGGAAATTCCAGAGGCAAAAGCCTTCCATGAGAAAAACACCCAGCTTCCATCCAGTGCCCTGCACTTCAGAGTGGGGAACTGTGTGGTTGCTGCTGAGCTCAGATAAATATTGGTATCTCCAGATAACCAAGGTGCAGAGCACTGGAGAGGGGCCCTTAAGGCATCAAGTCAACACCTTGGATTGCACTTGGAGGCAAATGAGTAACCTCTGCGGAGTAGAACACCTGTGAGAAGTGTTCCCTGTGGCTTGCACAATTTAGCAGCATGAACATTTTTTATGTCCTGCAAAGTACAACTGTATCCCTCTCTCCTCCCTGTCTATTTTTAATCACCTATGGAGTAGGGAATAATTTGAGGGCTGCTTTCCTAACAACAGCTGAAAGAAGCATTAAATACATGCAGACAACTCCCAATTTCCCCCTGTGACATAGCTAAGAACTGTGCCTTCGTGTCCTTAGCCAAAGGCAAGATTAAGGCCTCTGGAAGCCCAAGCACAGAAACGTTTCAGAGCCTCCCTTCTAAATGCACTTCAACATGGATTCAACATTAAACGAAAAACCACAAGGTTCAAATATATAGGAAAAACAGCTTGTCTTTAGATTTTCTGATTGCACATTTGTGTCTGTTGGATAGCTTGGCACCGCCTGTGCCTGTCCAGTTTTACCTAATATAAGGGGTCCGCCTGTCTCCAAACCCTCCCACCACCATTTTCCTAGAACCGTCATTGCTCGTCCCTGGCGATAACGGAGTCAATCAACTTTGAGAACTATCAGCCTTCGGTGAGGAGCTTTGGCGGCGGGCAGCTGTCAGGTTAGCAACACAGAGGCCCCTAAACGTGGAGGAGGGACATAGCCGAAAGGGGTGAATTTAAGCCTTTTTCTACTGTTTGCGTTTATGAGGTGCGCAGTGCATTGCTTCCTAAACATTGATTAATATCGGCAGACAAACTGCTTTTAACTATGTCCTTAAAGTCAGTTTCCAGTGGATAAAGAACTTGGTGATAACAAGAGCAGCGTCAACGAATCTGAAGGCTTGATAAATCCGTTTTACTCAGTAAGAAATGGGTAAGAGCTTACACAATAAGATGCTGTGAACAAGGCTTTATAGACATTTTCGATTGCTCTGCAGACATCAGCAACACTCAGGTACCAAGGCTGGAGGCCATATTTTGAAAACCACTCTTAGCAGCAGAAGAAAACTAGGAACCAGAAATAAAAGACTCAAATTCCAATCTCAGCTGTCAATTTTAAGCCTAGAGACCTCAAGTGTTTCATTTGTAACTAATTATATCAGCCTTGTCTCAATGGGTTTCTGTAATAATCAAAAGACATATGGCATATGAAACACTCTGGAAACTATATAGGAGTATCAGTACCATTGGTTGATAATTGATCTGCTCATAGTTTGCTTTTTTTCCCATTGCTTTTGAGATATTTTGCAAATTTTCCTCAGAGTGTCTTATAGCTCCCGTTCAGTTCTCCAGTAATTTCCACTACGACTTTTTCCTGATAACTTTTTTCGTATGGCTCCAGCATCACGTCACGGGGAAACGTGAGTTCTAGAGTTGGACACACAGGACTTGAGCTCTGACTTAGCACTTGTTCACTACTGATATTCTTCATTCCTTCTACATTTCAGTTTCCTCATCTGTAATATAGGAAATAAATATACCATTTTTATTGGGATAACCCAAGGACCAAAGCAAAGGGGAAAATATTTTTCAAACTGTAAAGGATCTGACAGCCCTGGCCGTCAGATGACAATGACAGTCAGGCATTGTCCCCCATACCAAAAGGTTGCCAGTTTGATTCCTGGTCAGGGCACGTGCCTGGGTTTTGGGCTCCATCCCTGATAGGGAGCAGGGTGTGCAAGAGGCAGCAGATCACATCCATGTTTCTCTCTCTCCCTCTGCCTTCCTCTTTCTCTGAAAATCAATAAAAATGTTTGTTTTTTAAAAAGATCTGACAAACGTTCAATGTAATTTAACAACTACTTGGGAAGTAAATAGGTTTAGCTCCATAATGAGCAACAAGGTCTAGAACAGGCCCCAACGCAGGTTCAGCTAACATCTTGTATTTGCTCAAAACCACTAATATTTTTGTAAGGATCTCTGCCTACTTGAGATGGGCAATGATGAATTGAAACACAATGTTGAGGGTTTTTTTAGAGTGGGTAACTTTCATTATTATATTCTCATAAGTGTGATGAGAAAATAATGAGATAGGTCTTAAAGGCTAATGAGTTGGTTTTATGCAGAAATTCCACTTAGAATTTGACCTACACATTTATATCTAAAAAATATATATATATATATATGAAAAAATATAGGAAGTTTTAAATGGAAATCTTAAGGTTATTTCTGAGTTATCAATGTTTTATATTTGTCTTATTTTTAAACCTAACTCTATTATCTCTTAAATCTGACTGGAGTATCTGCATTTGGAAGAANAAGGTTATTTCTGAGTTATCAAGGTTTTATATTTGTCTTATTTTTAAACCTAACTCTATTATCTCT